AGTCCGCGTTTTCCCGCTGAGCCATGGTCCTCCCCCAGAATAAATCCTCAAACCCTGGTCCTTCCACTGTCTTCGCCAACTGAAGGCGAAAGAAGAGGTGCTGCATGCCTAACATAATATTCTAATGTATTTATTTATTTATTTATTGTTTGTATTTATACTCCGCCTTGCCTGACAAGCAGACTCAAGGCGGCTAACAGATTAAATAACATAACAAAAAGTTAAAACAATTAATAAATACAATATCAGTTAAAACAAGTAAACAACAACAATTACAGTACCAACTATGGCGGTAATCCAATCAATCCCTAGCTAGGGGTAGTAACCAGCAAGGACTCTAGCCAGGAGATGGTCTAAGTTCGGCCAGAAGATGTTCGAGGGCACACCACTCAGCGGCGGCCCCTAATCGAACGCCTGGCGAAAGAGCTTCGTTTTACAGGCCCTGCGGAACTGTAAAAGGTCCCGCAGGGCCCTGATGTTCTCTGGGAGCTCATTCCACCAGTGTGGGGCCGCCACCGAGAAACCCCTGGTTCTGGTAGTATTTAGTCTGGCTTCTTTCGGACCAGGGAGGGTCAACCGGTGTTGCGACCCTGACCTCAGTACTCTCTGGGGCTCTTATGGGGAGAGGCAGTCCCTCAGGTAGGCAGGCCCCTGACCATATAGGGCTTTAAAAGTTAAAACCAGCACCTTGAACCGAACTCCTTGCCCAAGATTTCATTCCCAAGAACTTCTCTAGCAACAGCCCTGCTGGCAGTATCCTCTCTCCAAAGAGCTCTCTCAGCCCCGCCTACCTCACAGGGTGTCTGTTGTGGGGAGGGGAACGGAGAGGAGATTCTAAGCCGCTCTGAGACTCCTTTGAGTAGTGAAGGGCGGGGTATAAATCCAATCTCTTTTCTTCTTCTTCTTCTTAGAATGAGAGTCTGGTGAAGCTTTATCTGGATTAATAATATCGAATTGTGGTGGAGGGGGGGGTCTAGGCCAACCGCTTGCGCTTTTGAATAAAAACAACAACTACTACACATGCAAACTCTGAGAAATAAAACAGTTGGATTCTCTATGCAAGCCTGAGATGAATCGGTATTATTAGGCCCTTCCTATTATGCGCAGCTGGGCTGCAGCTAGTTGCCGGGTCCATCCCTAGCTTCTCCCAGCCATCTCTAGTAATTACCTACTTTCACCCAAGCTGAATAATGTGCTTTCAATCCACTTTCAATGCACTTTAGAAATTGTTTGCAAGTGGATTTTGCTGTTTCACACTAAAATCCAGCTGCAGGGTGCACCCAAAGTGGATCGAAAGTGCGTTCCTCTGCATGTGTGAAAGTGCTAGAAAGGCATCCGATGGAGAATGAGCAGAGAGGAAGAATGAGAGAATGTACACCTATCCTTGGCACAACGACTGTAAACACAGAAGGGCTTGGAATCCCAGGAGGGAGGGCAACAGGTCCAGAAGGGATTCAGGCAACCATATTATTACTGCAATGGCTGCAATTATCGCCTCAGAGCCCAACCTGACTATCTGCTGTCAATCTTCAGAGGGTTTCAGCCCAGTTCTACCTAGTTGTCTGCCATGCGAACTTCAAATCCATGCAACATCAACAAGCTGCAATGCTCACAAAAACATGGTCACCCTCAGGACCTAGGTTTATGGTTGCTCTTCACTAAGTAAAGGTAAAGGTTTCCCTTGCTCAAAAACCAGTCGAATCCGACTTGAGGGGGGGGGATGCTCATCGCCATTTCCAAGCCGAAGAGCCAGCACTGTCCAAAGACGTTTCTGTGGTCATGCGGCCGGTATGGCTGAACGCTGAGGTGCACGGAACGCTGTTATCTTCCCACCGAAGCGATACCTATTTATCTACTTGCTATTTCGAACTGTTAGGTTGGAAGGAGCTGGGACCAGAGACAGGAGCTCACTCCATCATGTGGCACTCGGGTCTCGAACTGCCAAACTACAGACCTTCTGGTCTGCAGCTCAGCATCTAAACCTCTGAGCCACCGCGGCCCCTGCTCTTCACTAGGGAAATAAATAAATCCTACAAATGACCCAGCCAAAATTAAGGATAAAAACAGTCACAATTTAGGTAGCTCGACAATGTGTGACATCAACTTCAGATCGATGCAGACTGTTTCAAATGCCCCCTTTGGCTATTCCAGGCTCTTCGTCGCAAGCCCCCCGAATATCCTGAAAACTATGTTTTCGCCGAGACTCCAAATCCTCCGCATCCTCCTGGAAAAACCCAAAAGCCTCTCTTCTGGAAGTCAAAGCCAGCAATACGTCAGCAACAGCTCAAGAGATTGCTCCAGGAAGAACACTCGAACCAATAATAAATAAAAAGGGAGCGATTTGATATAAGCAGGATGCTTTTTGGAAGGCGGGTGCTCCTCGCGTCTGCCGCGTTGGGGTTTTCCATCCCGCAGGTGAAAAGACAGTGAGCGAGCGTTACATGAGGAAATGAAATGAAAAATCCCTCCAGACAGATGGGAGGTGCCTGGCCCTCACCCCCCCTCCCCTCCCCAAACCATCTCCACTGACTCAGAAACAAGTATAATGAGGAGGCCGCTATCTGTGAATTCCTTTCTCCTTTTGTTTCCCTCTACAGGTCTTTTTCTTTTTCTTTTTATCAGCCCGAAGCATCCCAGCTCCTTCATTTCAGGCTGGCATTAAGCTATTAAATGCACCATTTCACCTCGCTTCCCTTTCGCTAAATGTCAGCCTTCGACGGAGGGTGACAGGCTCCCAGCCTTTCCCTCCCCTTCTCCCCTGCCGGTGTGCTTGGGCCGGCAGCCATGGCCCCCGGCTAAGCGCCCCCCACGCGGGGCAGGCCCGGGACTTAGCTCGGGGGAGGGCTGCGAAGGAAACCGTCTCCACACTAAATATTCATCCTTGCCACCTCATTGCGCTCCTAATTCGCTGCTGATTTGGGGGCTGGGCCTCTCTGCGGCTGCCGTTTATCCCCTCGGTCTTCTGTCTTTGAAGCTTCACTGCTCCTCCCCAGACGGCGGCAAAGGCGGAAGAGTTCATCTGTGTACCTATTTATCTCTGTTATTAGTTGCCCTGAATTTTATTACTTTGGGATGTAGATGCTGCGTACCTCCCAAAGCTGCAAAAGCCAGTGTAGAGCAGAGGTTAGAGTGCTGGGACTGGAATCCGGGAGACCCCAGGTTCAAATCCCCACTCTGCCTCAGAAGCTGGCCGGGTGACCTTGGGCCTATCAGCCTAAACTACCTTAAAGGCAGATCAAGGTGGACAGGTTTGTTGGTCTGATGCTGGTCAGTGTTCCCTCTAAGCTGAGTTGGTGTGAGCTAGCTCACAGTTTTTTAGCCTCCGGCTCACACATTTTTGTCTGAGCTCAGGAAGGATGGCTTCAGAGCAAACTGATTTATGCAGTAGCCAGATCGCTCGCTCACAACTTTAATGCCAGTGGCTCACAAAGTTGAATTTTTGCTCACAAGATTACATAGCTTAGAGGGAGCATTGGCTCCTGCATAAATTAGTTTGTTCTGGAGCCATTCTTCCTGAGCTAAGGCAAAAATGTGTGAGCCGGAGGCTAAAAAATTATGAGCTAGCTCACACTAACTCAGGTTAGAGGGAACACTGCTCACAACTTTAATGCCAGTAGCGCACAAAGTAGAATTTTTGTGCACAAGACTCCACAGCTTAGAGGGAGCATTGGATGCAGTAGAACAAAGTTAGAGTCCAATGGCACCTTCAAGGCCAACATAGTTTATTCAAGGTGTGAACACGTGAAAGGCTCACACCTTGAATAAAACTTTGTTGGTCTTGAAGGTGTCATTGGACTCTAACTTTGTTCTACCTTAAAGGGTTGTTGTGAGAATAAAACGGAAGGGAAGAGAGGGATAGAAGCTGCTTTGGGTCCCCATGGGGGAGAAAAGCAGGGTATAAATGAAGGAAGCAAGCAAATAAATAAAAGAACGACTCGCAATACATCCTCCCCAAGCCACCGTTCTGGACAAGAGTTCTGGTCGGATCCTGAGCTGGGCTGCCAACCTCCAGGTGGGGCCAGGACCTCCTGCAGAATTACAACTGGTCTCCAGAGTACATGGAGGAAATGGCAGATTCTGTGGGTGAATTCTAATGGCATCATATCCCTGCAGAACACCCTCCCTGAACAATGCTCTCCCAGGCTCTGCCCCCAAAACTCTAGGAATCCCACAACCTGGAGTTGGCAACCCTAGTCCTGATCCATACTCAAACCGAGGTCATTATGCAGGATACCCACATTTCTGTTCCATAAGAGTGGATCCACAGAGTCAAGAAGCACAAGGGTGCTGACCTACACTAGGGAGTGTAGGGAGACTAGGGAGAGTCGCCCTCTAGTCCACACAACCCGACAGAGTAGGCTGGGCGTTATGCACAGGCTGCCCTTGTGCAAAGGCATCTGTGCCTTCTAACACCTGTGTAATGGGCAGGAATTCAACAGGTGGAGCATTACCAGGCGTGGAGATACAACGATAACAGGGGATGCTGAGTAAGGGGGTTGTCAAACTAGACGAGAAGTTATCGGGTTTGTCGGAAATCTTTCTCCACCTCTAGTGGAGTGCTAAGGTGCTCAGCTAGCTGCACAGGAAGTCAGCCAATGATTGATCCCCCCCCCCCTGCCCATCTCTTTAGTAGCAGAATACCCAGGTGGGCCAGCCACTGAACATGCATCAGTAAGCGCATCCATTTTTATCTCATTTCGAAGCTGAATACGTATGACTGCCATAGAGACTTGTTTGGTTTGAAAGCTTGCAGATTTACTAAATGACAGAATGGCCCCATAAAGGATGACGGCTGTCCTGCGTCTAACCCCACCGCTCGCAGACCTTATCTAGTCTAGCGCCACCTGCTGGTGATGATAAAGCGAGTTGCGAAGGTAAATCTTGTCTTGCATAGCAGCAATCTGTTAGTTTTTTTGTCTTTCTTTGTGCACACATTCAATTTTTTAATTTTTTCAAAAAATCATGCGATAAAAATGTTGGTAAAATAAATGCACTTTTACCTGAAATCCCAAAAGTGTGCTCGCCAGGAAAAGCTGAGATGGGTTCTGTAAACAAACAGGAAAATATCAAATTTAGGATTATTTCAAGGCAACAGACTATAGACTTCCAGGATGACTGCAGATTAGGGGTGATCCATGCAGGGAAAACAAACCCTCAGGAACCAATCTGTGCCGCTTTTCCCTAAGGGTGGTTGCAGTTTTAAAAGGGGATCAGAAAAGTACTTTTCACCCTTTCTCACAATACAAGAACTCGTGGGCACTCAATGAAATTGCTGCGCAGTCGGACTAGAACAGATGAAAGGTAGTACTTCTTCACCCAAAGAGTGATTAACACATGGAACTCACTGCCACAGGAGGTGGTGGCGGCTACAAGCATGGACGGCTTCAAGAGGGAATTAGATAAATACAAGAAAGGGGGATCCGCGATACTCGTGGGGGGGAGAAATTCCATGGGAGAAGGAAGCAGCCGCAGGTGATTCCCCCTTTTCCTAGCGGCGGCAGCGAGGCCTTGCTGGCCCGCCGAATTTTCTCCCTCCCCCCTCTGCAGTGGCAGCGAGGCTTCGCCGGCCTGCCAAGCTTTCTTCCTCCCCCTTCAGTAGCAGCGACGGCAAGGCCTCGCTGGCCCACCGAACTTTCTTCCTCCCCCCTCCCCCGGAGGCAGCGAGGCCTCGCCGGTCTGCCAAATTTTCTCCCTCCCCCCTCGGCAGTGGCGGCAGCGGCAAGGCCTCATTGGACCGCCGAACTTTCTCCCTCCCCCTCCCCCCGTAGCGGTGAGGCCTCATCAGCCTCTCTCTCTCCTTCCCCCGGCGGTGGTAGCGGTGGCGAGGCTTCGCCAGCCCGCTCAACTTTCTCCCTCCCTCCCCCTGGGCAGTAGCGAGGGCTGAGCGGCTTACAGCTGCCCGCCAACCAAGCCTTCTCCCCCTCCCCCTTCTCTCTCTGGTGGTGGTAGCGGCAAAGCCATTCTAAGAGCATTCCCTGCACATGCTCAGGGGGTGCTCTTTTACTTTTTGGGGAATTTAATTATCCCCCCCACATTTTTTTACAGTTTTCAGATTTTTCTGCACACCTGGGCATTGCCCCATGTGTGCAGGAAAATCTCCCTGCCCCCCAGGTGCCCCCGATGTGCGGATTTAGATATCCGCACACAGGGGGCGTCTTGGGAATTAGATATATAGATATGGAACAGAGGTCGATCAGTGGCTATTAGCCACAAGGTATAGATAGGAACTGTCAGCCTGAGACAAGTGATGTTTTGTATTCTTGGTGCTTGGGGGTCAACAGTGGGAGAGCTTCTAGTGTCCTGGCCCCACTGGTGGACCTCCTGATGGCATCTGGTATTTTTGGCCACTGTGTGACAGAGTGTTGGACTGGATGGCCCATTGGCCTGATCCAACACTGGCTTCTCTTATGTTCTTATCAGACAGATTCATGGAGGCTAGGTCCATCAGTGGCTATGAGCCATGGTGACTAAAGGGAACCTTCACATTCAGAGGCAGTCAACCTCTAAATCCCAGTACCAGGAGGCAAATTCAGAGGAAAGACTCAGCCTTTGCACCCTGTTGTTGGCCTGAGACAGGAGGCTGGACTACATGGACCACCGGTCTGATCCAGCAGGGCTCTTTTTACATTCTTATGTTCCTCCCAATAAACCCACCAACCCACCCCCGGCTAACATTATTGCAAGTGTATCTGTGATACTGTTAACATTCAGAACTTTTAAGAGGTCTGGAATAAAAATCAGTTCCCTCAAAAAGGTACCCTTCTGTTCTCCCTTTACAGAAAGTAAAGCTGTTAATGGAACAAACTGAGAAGCTAACAGCTCCCGTTAACTTTTGTGCAGGCACTCATTTTCCTGAGTGGTGCCGTTGAGTACAGTGTTCAATTAGACCCGTGAGAGCTGGGTTCAAGTTCCTGTACAGCCATGACACTCACTGTGGTGGCCCCCAGGCAATTTACTGTCTCTCTGTTTAATCTTCCTTACCAGGTTCTTGTCAAGGCATAATGGAATTACCCCCAAGTACACCATCACTAACTCTTTGGAGATAAGGAGGAATTAGGGTTGTCAGGTTCCCCCCCCCCCGGCCACCGGGGGGGGATGGGGGGCTAAGGTTACTAGATCCAGGTTGGGAAACTCCTGCGGATTTGGGGGATAGAACCTGGGGAGAACAGGGACCTCGGTGGAGCACAATGCCAGAGAGCCCACCCTCCATAGCATCCATTTTCTCCAGGGGAACTAATCTCTTTGGTCTAGAGAGAAGCTGTGATTCCGGGGGATCCCCAGGTCCCACCTGGAGGTTGGCATCTCTAGGGGGGATAGGAAAATGCTCAAATAACAGCTAATGCGCAGAAAACCTTAGGAAGGAACAGCTTGCTGTTCTCAAATGGCACTGAAAGCTCGCGGATAATGATCTCGGTCTAGTATTTCAGCACCTCCTTATTGGCCCCATCTGGTGGGGTGAACACATGTAATACCAGCCACAGTCAGTATCTCCTCCACGGCATCGACTCCAACACTGTGTCCTGTTTCAGTCAACTTGTTCCAAGAAGAATATAAGGGGGGGGGGAGGAGGAAAGGATTCAGAGTGTAGCTTCAGAGGAAGAACAGGGGTTTGGAAATGCACGAAAGTTTATGAAACTGGGTATGTTTACTGCAGAATAAAGCCGAGATAAGTGTGTTTGGTAGGGGGTGCGGGGGAGTTTGTCCTCATATCTGAAAGGTTTCCCTAAAGAAGCGTGCGCGGGGGGCGGGAATAACATTTTCACGATCCTGGTCCACTAAATGAAACGCAAGAAGCAGTGAGTCAGGAAGGAGATTGGTTTCAAAATGCAACAGTCGTAGGGAACAAGTTGTGGTGTGGAGTATCCTTTGTGGGAGGCTTTTGAACACGGGACTGATAAGTCTGTCTCTTGGATGGTCTTTTTGTCCTCCTCAAGGAAAGGGAACCAATGCTCTTTTCCTTCAGCCACTTCACCTCTGCGTGTGCTGTGTTCACAATACACTGAAGGCATTTAAAATCTCTTGCAGACTGAGAGATAAGTTGAACTGTAAAGATAAACCTCATAGCCAAGCAAAGAATGCACTCAAGTAGTTATATCTTTGGACAGAGGATATGTTGGTGTATACACACACACACACACACACACACACACACCAGCTTCAAGTAAGGCCTGGTCACTGGAGGGTCTTATTATCCCAGCAGAAGGAAAACAGAACACAATGAAAGTACAGGGGGAAAACCAGGTGCTCTACCCCTTATGATCAGTGCCAATCTTTGAGGGTATTCTGAAGATCCTAACCCTGTTGGAAGTGTTTGCCTCTGATTTTGTACACTTTGCCGTGTTTTTTTCTTGGCTGGGCTACCATGCTTTTGTCGGCTGTCTTGCAACCAGACATTAGCCCAGGAAAGCTTTTCCCGGCAGACAATAAAGGCAGTAATGGCAAAAGCTTCACTGGCTGAATTTCTGCAGATTGCTGAAGAAGAAGAGTAGGTTCTTATACCCCACTTTTCTCTACCCTAGGAAGTCTCAAAGCGGCTTACAGTCACCTTCCCTCCCCCTCTCCACTTTGTGAGGCAGGTGGGGCTGAGGGAGTCCTGAGAGAACTGGGACTGGCCCAAGGTCACCCAGCAGGCCTCATGTGTCTCAAAGTGGCTGACAATCACCCTCCCTTCCTCTCCCCACAACAGGTACCTTGTTAGGTAGGTGGGGCTGAGAGAGGTCTGAGAGAACCGTGACTAGCCCAAGGTCACCCACCAGGCCTCGTGTGTCTCAAAATGGCTGACAATCTCCTTCCCTTCCTCTCCCCACAACAAACACTTCAAGAAGTAGGTGGGGCTGAGAGAGTTCAGAGAGAGCTGTGACTGGCCCACGGCCACCCAGCAGGCTTCATGGGGAGGAGGAGTGGGGAAATCAAACCCGGTTCTCCAGATTACAGTCTGCCGCTCTTAGCCACTACACCCCTGCCGAAGGCACAAGAACGAAGGAAATAAAAGGCTGGCGGCTCCGTTTGCTGCTGGTATCCAGAGACCTCTGTACAGCGCTGTTCGAAAGGAACAGCCGCATTCCCTCCCATGTCACATCCTGGCATATGGGAGCCTGCCACCCAGTCTCTGCTCATTTAGCCAATAATTTAGCCTTCCACCCATTGTGCTTCTCCCCCATATATTGCCAAGGAGTTGTGTGGGTCTGTTGAAGGATCGGTTTCCCTGCAGTCTCCTTCATCTAGAAGGCCCCGGTTACCCTCCCGTCTGCCTCCCCCGAGGGTTTCCACCAGTCCAAGAAGCCCCGCTTAAGTAACCCCTGGAACACAGACAGATAATTTCCTTGTTCCTTTGAAGAAATAATCTGTTGCATACAACTGGATCAAAAAAAAACAAAAACCCAGCCCCCATGCCCCAGTGCATCTTACTGAGTCCCTTCCTGGGAAAGGAAAAGAACCGATCTGATTATTACCAGATTTACGCCCGGGCCAAAGCCTCTGGGCCCAACCGCCGTTTCAAACAGCGTGCTATGGAAACAGTCTCCCAGTCCCAGAGAGCAAGTGGAAGGTTTGTCAAAGGCCAAAAAAAAAAGGGGGGGGGAGAAATAATATAGCAGTGAAACAAAGTTTGAGTCCGGTGGCACCTTGAAGACCAACAAAGTTTAATTCTGGGTCTAAGCTTTCGCTTGCACGCACACTTCCTCTGGACTCACACTTTGTTCTGTCGCTTCAGACCTACAGGGCTGCCCACCTGAATCAATAACACGGTGAGTTATTAGGTCCTTTCCTCGAGTTGAAAAGGAATCTGATTACTTCTCTGGATTACAATTTTAAAACAGAACCTCGTTCCTCCAGTCAGCTCCCTTTCGGAGTCCTCTGAGAGCGGCAGAAGGGCGGAATGGAGATTCCCACATATTATTTCACAACCTGAATGATTCATCTGAAGAACCACCCTTGTAGTTCAATCCACCACCACCACCCCAGTGTGCAGGAATTGTCATAGAATCATAGCATTATAGAGTTGGAAGGGACCTCCAGGGTTATCTACTAGTCCAACCCGCTGCAC